TCTGACGACAGCGACACAGAAGAGGAAGTGGCGCTCTGTTTACCTCCAGAGGTCAAGTTGTTCAGAAGTGACACCGAGGATGAAGAATTGAATGGATTTAGTGATTTGGAGTGAGATGGAGAGTTTGGTAAACTTGTTCTGTTCTGTTGTTTATGTTATAGTTTATCTGAAGAACTGTTCATAGTCTGTTGTTCTCTCTTCTATTCTTATTACTACAACTTGACTTTCATCAGGAAATGTCGGTTCCTGTTCTCTGATTTCCAGTGCCACTTATATAGGCGAGTTTCAGCTGACGTCATTGTTATTAAAAGCCCACGTTGCATGCTGGGAAATATTTTGGTCGGAGACAAGAAACACGGTAACGGTCAAACACAGTGTGTAACCTCGCATATTTATCCCCGATAATGGTAAAGTCCTGCTGTATTATCGGATGCACAAATAGAAGCACGGAAGAAGGAAAATGTCTTTTTCATATTCCGAGTGAAAAGAACCACTAACGGTGAATTAAACGACTTTCAAACATTCCCAGAGCAAACGTAGAAGATCCTAACAAACCGTGGACTCCAACAAGTTCAACAACACATCGAGACTCTTGGAGGTTTTCATCTTTTCTGCTGTGAATGGCCCAGGAGTTTCCACCAAGTCATTGTGGATATCGCCCAAGTGAATATTTGTCCAGGTAGTTGGTGATTCTGACCAGAAATTTGGTTTGGTCCAGGCTTTGTCGGGGTTGAAAAGGGTGATTTGGCTCCATCGATGCTTATGACCAATTTCTGGTCAAATGGTCTTGGGTCCTCTGCCGTTAGAGTGGATAAATAACCAGGATCAATACCCTTTACGTGCTTTCTCGCTCCATCCGTCATGTTGAATTAGTGTTTTAATTCCCAGCATGCAACGCGCGCTTTTGTCAACAGTGAAACTCGCCTATATGCTTTCTTCTTCTACATTATGCATTTTTTGGCTTGTGCCTCAGAAAAATGCCGTACTCAAAATGTGTAAATTGAAAATAAAAGACAACTCCTGTTTTTGAAGAGGTGACAGTATTATAACATGACTTAAAGCTCACAAGAGTTCATTTTACTCAAAATAGAACCTTTAAAATACGGTCCATGACTTACTAGGTGCTTGCGGTGGGACTTAGTAGATACTTTACTGGTAACTTCAGTTGTTGTTACAATGGTAGTTACTTTTGGTACTTGTGCAGGGGGATCCAATTTTCAAAATTCCAAACTGGGACACAACCAAGTTTGGATGGTTGTTTTAAATACAACAATTAAAAGAGAGCGTAACATTGTCCATTTTCCACTCACTTGTGTCAGTCATAATCGGTCTTACAGTCATTTTCAAGCAGGTTTACTGTATTTTCACTAAACAAATGACAATATATTCCTCTCTTTACTGTTGCCAGATATCAGATTGGTCAAAAATATCTACATCTGGGACATTTCTTGTATAAAACTGAGACAAATTACTGGGACATGGGACACAGACTCAAAACTGGGGCTGTCCCGAGTCAGTCGAGACATCTGGTCACTCTGTACTTGTGCTGTACATGTGGGACACAACTGTACAGCCAGAGTTTAAAGGTGCAGTATGTAACATTCTAGTGGAGTTATGGAGTTATTGTTTGGCCGAGAAAGTTACACGATCAGTTCTTGTCTTTAATTATCAATTGATCCACCTGTAATCCAATAAATGCAACAATGACATAGTGTGGAACATTCCTGGCACTGCAGTTAGTGATGCACCATTCAGGTTTTTTAGTTCTGATACCGAAATCGATTTGAATTATCTACCGATACTCGATATTAACCTATACCAGTGTAGGGATGGAAAATGATGTTTATTTCCTAAAAACAGCTGAATGTATTGTACAAGAGATCCAGTTATGCTGTGGAACTGTTATTTCTCCTTTAAATCACTACTTTTAAACAGCTTTATCTGAACGATGAGGCGTCTTATTACATCCAGGATATATGCCCTAACTGCAACAAGATCTCCATGGAGACAAAGACAGAAAAGTGAAAAGTTACACAGTTTTTTCTTTTAAATGAGCCTCAAAAAGCACTATATTCTGTCATTTTGGCTTCTCTGTCACGATGAGGAGAAGAAAAAAAAAAGCTTTTGGCTCAATTTCTTCAATAGACCTCAATAAAAGTGTGTATTTGTGTGCCGAGGCCTCATTTGCATATTCAAGAGCTGCTGACACTGTTATTGATGCGTTCTGCTCCTTTGGGAGGAAGGGCATCCCGCCGGAAAAAAACTAGGTGAGAGAAAAGTGAGAGAAATGCATTTGTTTGAGTCGTCATTAGCAAAAACAAACTGTGAGCAGCAGCAGAGGGCAGAGGACACTGGGTCTGAGGGAGGGGCCGGGACTCAGATGCAAAACCACAAATACGAGGCTATACACAAGCAAGTGTCCTAAAGGAAAGGATCAGAATAATAACATTCATCTTATAGTGCTTTTCTGCAGCTATTCTGTTAACTGGTTTCAGAGTACTTTCAGTGTAGTTAGCTCCTCCCATCAGTGTCCACCAGTGTCTGACCAGAACTTGAAGAAGGCTACAAAACATCTTCACTCAAAACACTTTGGTGCAGTGACAGAAAGGATTTTAAAATTTATTTTTTCTCTTGCTTCTTCGGAAAGTGAACACTTCTTTGTACAGGGTATCCCCAGGTTTGACTACCCCAAATTTAAGACATTTTAAAGACCTTTTTAAGAACACTTAAATGAAAATTAAGACCAACATCGCACCCATTATGCAGACGAAAAACACCATGTCTAATTCTAATAATGACCAACCAACTACGATACTATATCTAGAATCTAAGGCTACGTTTATATGATGACGGTCCTAACAGAAGACACAAAAGTGGTGTAGCGTCTTCACTTTTCATTCCACATTTAGACAAGCTTTTTCTTGAGTGCATACAGTGAGGCAAAAGTGTGTGGAATTGGATGGTGTAAGCACATCAGGCGGCTCCGTGGTGATGCTCGGTGGTGATGTCTGTGACTTAAACACGTACATGGCCTGAGCAGATCTGACCAGAGTTTTGCGTCTTGGGCAGTGTAGACAAAACTGATTGTTTACTTATTGCTGCCTGCACCAAAAAAAACAAAGTATTGTTTGTGCGTACTCCAAATTAGACATTCATTCACGTTACGTTATTTCACGTTGTTCACGTTGGGTTTTTTCTCTCTCTCTGTTTAACCATGCACTGCAGCCTGGTTGAGTAAACAAAAAAATAGACTAATGAAATTTAAGATCTTTGTGAAAAAATAAGACTTGGACAATGATTTAAGACTTTTTAAGGCCTTAATTAAGGAACATGAAATTTAAGTGAAGAGTCCCTCAGTCGTCCAGGTAGAATCCATGGCGAGGACAAAATTCAGTTTGTCGACTGGACAAAAGTTAGTTTGGTTGAAGACGCTTCGCAGCTCATCCAAGCTGCTTCTTCAGTTCTGAAGAAGCTTCACTTTTGTCCGGTCGACAAACTGAATTTTCTCCTCGCCATGAAATTTAAGACCTTTTTAAGACTTTTAAGACCCCGCGGCTATCCTGATTGTAATTGGTTAAATCCACCAGTCACTCACTCGGAGCACTGCTGAGGCTGACCTATACACAGGTTTCAGAATAATGAAAAATGAAAACACTTGCCATAGCGATTGATAACTTTAAAAAAAAAAAAAGAAAAAAAAAGTGTTTTTTAATGGGAAAAAGTCTTCTACATATGAACTATCATAGGAAGCTGAAACCAGTGCATGGAAAAGTGTCTTGTGAGAAAATGGCTGAATAATGAGATGTTGATTGGACTAAAATGGCAGATCATCACAAGAATGACACAAGACGACAATATAATGTTCATCAACATATAAGCCTGGGTCTCTTCTTCTTCTGTTATCTTCTACAGAGAACTATATGTCTGGACTAAACAAATATTTGAGGAGCTGTAGAGAGGCGTGAGAGCCATCAGGGCCCTGTACTGAGGCCTGTCCCGGTGATGAATTGTTGTGAGGGAACAGAAAAAGGTGAGTGTAGGAGATTGGTGGAGAACCAGTCCAGAGGAGTCCTGAGCTAGTTTTAATTGGCCCCAGGGGGAAAGGGGGGAGGAGGGGGAGGGGGGGTCCTGTCTAATTTTGTATTCATTCAAGGAAAAAAAGGTCTTTTTAGGATTGCTCTAGAACTACTGGCTTGAATATGAAATCTAGTTTTACTTTAGATTTGACAATAGATGTATTTTGTACTTTTGCATAGATCATATACATTCATAATAAACATAATCTCATCCATCTCTCATCTCAAAGCGTTTTACATCAAGGAACTACTCACCCAGTCACACATACAGACATACACCAGTGTACACACACTCAAGGAGCAAGGTGGGTTAAATGCCTTGCCCAAGGACACAACAACAGCATTAATCTATGGCAACTGGGACCAAACCGTCAGTGTATATCTGTGTGATGACTGGAGGATTGCCTGATGGTCACAGTTCTCCTGTTTGTGCTCAGAATAAACTCTGTTTTTGTAAGGATGTGACGTGTGTGTGATTCTTGTCCTGTTTGAAAAGTTCTCCTGTTCACATCGTTCTGTCATGATCATTACTAAACTTATCGTCAATAATACATGATATATTTTTTAGACTCAGTAATTACGTTTTTATAATAGCCACTCTGATAACATTTGAGCTGTACTTGGTTGAATAATTACATACATGACACTTTATAGACACTAGAATAAACTACTGATGTCTTCTTTTATTTATTTAAGTCATTTATTGCTGACCACATTTTTATAGTATGGTTCACATAGAAAACACTGGGGTTCTTGTGGCAGTGGTATGAAGTAGTTTCAGTATCACTGATGATTACTGAGACTTTTCTGTGTATATCAGACTTGTTATCATGACAGACGTCCCAGTGGAGACGGGTTAGTGCATAATACCCAACCCTACTCTCCACATGCTTACACACTGGGGGCAGATGGGGAGGGGTGTACCTGCATGACGATGAGGAGGTCGAACACCAGGATGAAGGAGGCGAGGAAGGCCCGCGAGACCTCGTCACTGGGCAGGAAGCCTCGGTTCAGATTGTCCCAGCTGATCCAGTCTGTGCTGATGACCAGGACCACCACAGAGGTGAGCGAGATCAGCACCGTC